TAGCTGAAAGAAAAGAGAATCCGCCTCCCTCCAGGCCCCCTCCCCAGGGAGCTAGAGTTGTGCTAAGGAGGGGTGAAAACCAGCAGATTTAAATTTCAAGGTCTTCAAACATTTTTAACATTCATATTAAATCCTGTGAAACTAAACACTGTAATTCTAATAAAATCCTTGTGTGAACAATTTCCCATTGTAATCAATTTTCTCTTTTTTGGAATGGGATTTGTAGTACGGATAAAAAGAAAACACATCTCTGAAAAGAAGCAACGTGAGGAAGCTCACACTTTCTGGTATTTTGGGTATGATGGTAAAATGACCATGGAACAACATGAAAACATATACATGTACAGGCCACAAAAATCTTGATATGATTTGGAGACAGTTGGGGTTAACAAGGGAATAAGCTACAGAAAAGTTATCTGGAATAACAAAGAGTTCCCTAGCTGTACTTGATAAACTTTCTTACATTCTCTGATAACCCAATATAGTAAGCCCCTTAAACTTAAGATGGTGTGGATGATAATGTCAACCACATTTCTCATACATTTACCTACACACACACACACACACACACACACACACACACACACACACACACACACAAACGACGCATTAACCCTTTCTTTACCTGCCTAGGACCCACAAAAGCTAAAGCAATGAGGGCCAGGTCAGGGTTTCTCTTAATTTGATTTTAAAAGGAGGTGGGGAAATATTTACACATTTTTTTATGAAACTCCCCATGATTCTGATATAGCAAAAAATTGTGGGGCAATTAAAACACATGTTTGCTTTTTTATTTAATTTTTTTTCTGTGCCCATCTTCCTTTCCAGGGAGGTGAGGCCGGAGGTCCCAGGGTCTTTGAGATGCTTGCTTCCCAGGATCTTTGAGATCCACACACTTGGGGGATCTGATGGCTTTGTAATGAAAGCAAAGGCAGGGGATAAAGGAGAGTGCTGTAACAGGAGTAGAAGGCAGAGCAACTTCAGCTCAAAAGAAGATCCCAGATCCCCGAGGCCATCCAAGTGGTGTTACTCAAGGAAGGTGCTGATTTCACCCATCCTGACTCAGATTCTCTCTCTGCCCTTGTCTACAGATTCACGTACTAGTTAGTGAATGCTGGTGGAATAGTTCCCATAAGTAGGACAAGCACTAAGCAAGACTGGCAGGATCTACATCTTCAAGCCATTTTCACTACCATCTAATTATTTCAGAACCACTTGTGATTTTGAACCAAGAAATAATATCTGCACTCTCAAGTTTACACTTTCTCATACTAGAGAGAAGGAATCAGAATGTTCAAATGAGACGGAATTGCACGTAGGGTGCAGATGAGCACTCAAGATCCACAATACACTACTTAGGAAGTGACAAAGAGGAGTTAGAAACAGAGTTAAGTCTCAATCTAATGCTCTTCACAAGAACACCAACTGGTGAGGACTCTGGGTTATTGGGTGACATGTTCGCCTCCACATGAGAATACGCCTCGGGGATCAGCCAAGGAAAAGGTAGAGAAAACATCAGGGTTCGTCATGGATTTCTTTCCATAAAAAGGTTTCCCTGGGAATTTCTACTAATTTGATCACAATTTTTAAATTACACACTAATTTGCTATAGCCTTTTTCCAGCCAAATCTATGTTCCAAAAGGAATGGAGAATGCAAAGGCTATCCAAATGGGGCAACACACTATTACGAGTTCATAATGCTGTGTACTATAGGAATGAGTCAAAGATGGTGACATGAAGCAAGAGAGGGAGAGAGAGCAGGGAAGAAGAAAAGAGGGAGAGGGGGAGTAGGGGAGAAGAGGAGAGGGAATATGAGCAGAGGGGAAAGGAGAAGGGAGGGATTGGGTGGGGAGAAGAGGAGAGGGGAGGAGAGAAGTAGAGAGGAGAGCAGGTGAGAGGAGGAAAGGGAAGGAAAGGAAAGAGGAGATGAGGATCTAGAACAGAGGAAAGGAGAGGGAAGGGAAGGGGGAGGGGAGAGGAGGGGGAGGGGAGAGGAGAGGGGAGGGGAGGGAAGAGGGAGGGGAGAGGAGAGGGGAGGAAGGGAAGGGGGAGGGGAGAGGAGAGCAGAGGAGAGGAGAGGAGGAGAAGGAAGGGAAGAGGAGAAAAATTGAGAGGGGAGGGGAGAAGAGCAGAGGGAAGGAGAGCAAAGGGGAAAGGAAAAGAGAGGGGTTGGGAGGGAAGAAGAGAAGTAGAGAGGAGTGCAGGTGAGAGGAGGGAAGGGAACGGGAATGGAGAGGAGGATAGAGAACAGAGGAGGGGAGAGGAGGGGAAAAGAGAAGACACAAAGGAGAGAAAGAGAGGAGAGGAGAGGAGAGGAGAGGGGAGGGGAGGGAAGGAGAGGGGAGGGGAAGGGAAGGGAGGGGAGGGGAGGGGAGGGGAGGGGAGGAGAGGAGAGGGGAGGGGAGGGGAGGGGAGGAGAGGAGAGGAGAGGAGAGGAGGGGAGTTGAGGGGAGGAGAGGGGAGGGGAAGGGAGGGGAGGGGAGGGGAGGGGAGGGGAGGGGAGGGGAGAGGAGGGGAGGGGAAGGAAGGGGAGGGGAGGAGAAGGGAAGAACCTGATCCTAATGCTTGGATTTATTAGTTGAATTCTAAAGTAAATACTCAACAATCTACTTTCTTTTGTGTGTGAATAAATGGATAACTCTTGCTGGAAACCCATATATTTTTATTCCAATAAATCTCTTTCAAAGCTCAGAAGAACTTTATTACAAAAACATCACTAGTAAAGACACAGTGTAACTTTTTCATAAAGTCATTTTTTCTAAATGCATATCATGATCAAAACTGACCATTTAGTGTTAATACTGAAATATCTTGGAACAATTATTCAGTCCTCATTTCTTCAATATAATAAAAACAACATTATGGCATTGGGTACATGACATCATTTATCACTCAGCAAAGAGCAGGGTGATAGCAGGGTGACGATTTTGATAAGCATGAGAAAGAACTAATAAGTTAAGGAAACATGGCTGGGGTTGGGGACAGAGACATCCTAAAATCTTTAATATTTATTAGAACAAGCCTCTCTGTTGCTGAGCTGTGAAATAGTTTACTGTTTCACTCAGACTAGTCTCTCAAAGTAATAGCCCACAATGCAAAAGTTAGGAGTTCCTGAGTTTAGTTCTCACAAAAACAGTGTCATTTTTGAAAAACATGATACAAATGGACCAGGAGGGAGGCGCTTCACATGTCTTATCTCAAATGTGAAACAAATGTGGGGTTGATGCATCCTGCGGATTTTGGTAAGGGCCAGTTTCCCAGGTCAGAACTGTCCCCCATAGGGAGAGAACACCAAAACACCCAGATTTCAGAGACATCCACCTGCCCCAAGAACTGAAACCCTTCTGGCAAGTCCTTACAAACTTTCTGCAGCATAAGTGACAGGAGTTATTTTCAAATCCTATTGCTTTTAAAGAATTGAGCCACAATGGCCTCTCGTCTCTTTAAAACAAAACAAACAACTAACTCTACTTTAAAAGACTTCCGTTCCAAAGTAGATGGTCATCAATGTGTGCCTGAACTAGAAGCAATTTTCTATCCTCTTATAATGAAAGCAGGAGATGTTCACCGAGCGCTTAAATACAAGACTCCAACACACAGTTACAAAAGTCTGGAGGGAGTATAGGAACCATCACATTCATGTACACACAGACTTCACTGACTGCTCAGCTCCCTGAGCAAGCAGGATTTACTCTCCTGCAGCAAGTGGCTTCTGGAAAGAGCCACGACATTGACCATCCAGAGAGGATCACGGTACAAAAAAACCACCCCGACCCAGCTTTGAAGCAAACAGGACCCCTCGTCCAGCAGTTGACCAATGAGAAAACAGGTCACATTTTGTGAGCTGTATTAAACCCCCACACGTGTCATCAACTCCCAAGGCTGTGTTGACAATCCGAGCAAGAGCGCATTATTTTAGGACACAAACTTCATAGAGTCCCTTCCCGAGTTAAGAGTTCATCTTCAATCCAAAATTTCACCAGAATTGTTCTCTGAAACCCTCCGAGTACTTGTACACTGCTAGAAGCTAAATCTCCCAGATTTCTATTTCCCAAGAGCCTGTGATACACAAGTACATCCAACTTCTGCAAATACTTCAACCTCAAGCTCCTACACACAGTGCCAGGGACAGACTGGCAGCTCACCTTGCCAGTCCAGTAAGCACAGAGAGAAAGTCAAGTGACATTAAACATTTCAATTGCAGAAGGCTAGCCTGGAGTTTTGCATGCAGAAAGTCCTGAGGAGAGTTGCTGGCTGCCTGGGCTGCTGCGCATCACCCCTCTCAGGCAAGAGATCCCAAACACTCAAAAACTAGAGCTGACTTGATGGCACAGCCAGCTCCCATCCTAAGGTAGAGTGCTTGGGAAGCGCGGCCATCGCCACAGCAGAAAAGTCCAAGAATGCCCCGACCCCAAGCAACTGGCTTCTTTATCTAACGCGGAAATAGACAAACATGTGTCCCTGCAGAGCTGATTCCGAAAAGTATGTGGGGTCACTGCCGTGTCCCCGTCCCCTCCGTTTGCCAGGTTGTTGGAGTTTGAAAAGTGAATGCCTGTCAGTGCAGACTTCCTCTGGGGTTTGTTTTTAAAAAGAGAGAGTGAGAGAGAGATTATCTTAAGTGCATATGTATATTTCCCCAACGCAAAGGATCACAAAATCCCTTGGAACTGTGTCTCACAAAGCAAGCCGGACAGGGGCTGAGAGCCTACACCCGCGGGGTGCCAGGGGAGCAGCATTTCTGGAGACCCTGCTTGGGAGTCAAGTGCTGGATTTTGGGTCTCAAGATTCCGGCAGAAACTGTCCTCTGCTCCAAGAGTTGCTGTGCGTGCAAACCCAGCGTTCAAACTCGTGGGCTCATCCCGGCGCTCATCTCAGCGTCTGTGGTACTAACTGGTGGGACACTTCCCACAGATTTTCCCCTCGCCAGAACCCCCTCGAGAAAAGCCCAGGCGCAGTTTAACAAAAACCCCCAACCCACCCGCAAGGCTGAAGTACTTACCTCTGTTCGAGACTGCAGTCTCTTGTTCATCTCATAGATTCGGTACTCTGGCTGCACCATGTAGGGTGTATGTCTCCTATAAAATGGGCCGAAAGGAGAAGAATAGAAGGGGTCATGTGGCGTGCTGGACATCTTGCCTGCTTGTCGAAAATCAAGCTCAACAGAGTGGCAGCAACGTCCATGCAGGGCACATGGGCTGTGTTCTTCACAGTACAAAGTAGGCGCACGCACACACACGCACACACACACAGAGCAGGCAGGCAGGCAGGCAGAACACACTGGCTGAGAACTGCTGTGGGAGCTTGTATAGCGGGAGCGGAGCGGGAGAGCGGGAGGAGGGAGGACGGCAGGGAGGGAGGGAGGGAGCGCGGCAGAGGAGGGAGAGGGAGAGCGCAGGAGCTCCAGAGAGGGAGGGAGACTGGTAAGCAGGAAGGGAGGGAAGGGTAGAGAGCTGGAGAGGCAGAGAGAGAGAGAGAGAGAGAGAGAGAGAGAGAGAGAGAGAGAGAGAGAGAGAGAATAGCTTTAGGCACCACTGCTTGTTTTTAAAGAAGCAGTTTGTGGAGAGGTCACTTCCCGTCCACATTGTAGCCTAGTTCAAAAATATAATTCTCCTCCTAGGCTGACAAGAGGTCTAAGGTTTGGTTTTAATTTTTTCCCCTCCAGCCAGGACCCTTTACAACCTGATTGCTGGGCTTGTTAGCATAGAGGTGGTTTCCCCCGCTGTCTGAGGCGCTCACCCCTGACAGCCGCCCGGTGTAATGTATCAGAAATGGGATTACTAGGAAGCCCCAGGAACGTGGGCCGCGGTTCCCCCGAATTGGAGCGGGTCACTCCCTCCCAGGCAAAGACTTCTCTGGGCTGGAATCTCGCTGGAGAGTTTTGGCTTTCCTTGTTGCTGTTCCAAGAGCTTGTTGCATTCTTTGCATTTCCACCCCTCCCCAACCTCCCCTCTTCCCAACCCCCCCTCTTTCTCTTCCCAAGACTTCATTCAAGCCCTTTAAAGGTCTTGAAGGAGGCTTGGATTCAGGTTACCTGGGCATTTTCAGGTGAAAAACTGTCATTCTCAAGGTGGAGTGCCTGAGATAAATCCTTGGAGCGTGAGTTTGTTGTATTTTTTTTTTCTAAGAAGGAAAAAAAAAATTCTAAAAGCAGACCTCCCAATAAGATAGGCAAAGCAAAGCAAAGAACTCCCACAAAAACGACCATGGAAAATTCAGTTGAGTAGGAAATTGTAGATAATTGAACGGGTCATCCCCAAATAACATGCCTAACTCTGATGGAGACATGGTCTTTATTTTCCAAGATTGGTCAAGTATATAAATCTTCTCCCATCTGTGGTATATGGTGACTGCAAGAAAATCCAAACAGCCTTTTGGAAAGAAAAAGATCTCTGTAGAGATTTAAAGGATCTGAAACATAATCCAATTCCCCTGGAATCAATGGCAACCAGCCTGATGATACTTGAACAAAGCCCAGGCACAATTTAGATGTTTTCAACCAACACCTAGCTGGGTCACTGGCATTAAAGAAAACAGAGGGCCACCAAAAAGCAGAATGAACACAAGACCTGAATGCAAATGCATGCAAATGAGACATTTCTTCTTTTTTAATAAGCAGATTAATTAACTTTCTGCCCCAATCATGGCTTGGGGTATCTCCAAGTCATTAGCCACCAGGGAATAAAGTACTGCTAATTCTACAATTTACACCCTGAAGAAACTCGGGCACAGAAATGACCCCAAGTCGCCATCCCGGTCAGTCCTTTTCTATAACATAGTATAGAATGTTTGAGGAATTTGCTCCCAACCTTACAGCAGTGTACCTAGCTCAGCAGAGCAGTGTGGCTTGCCAGGATGGGATTAAGGGAGGTATTAAGCTAAGGCTGCTTGGAACTTATGCTAGGAGACCCCAAGGCAGGCCAGCACACTTGGTTTCAGGTTTCATTACAAATCCAAAAGCTGGACCAAATTTGCTACAAGGTTTGTCAAAACACACAACCTCCTAAAGACAACATTTCAAACAAATTTGGCATGATTTATGTTTTCATATGAGGGCCACTGTAAAACCCAACCATTCCTTGTATTTAAATTCCTAAGCTAGAGATGTTCCCGAAGTTGTGTTCCTGTATAGCTGTTTCAGGGCACAGCTCAAGAGGACACAGCGTCAGGCGTGTGCAGCTCACGCCTAACCAATACAGACCTGCTCCAAAACCTCTTTCTGAAGAAGGGTAAGTTTTGTGTTCGTGCGTTCCTATGAATCTTTGTAAACTGTAACTGACATCATTCCAGTTAATAACCTCTTAAAAAATCAAAAGACTCAATTGAGAGCCACCCGGAACTTCATCATTCTCCATCTACATTTCTAACGTCCCAGTGCTGGTATTTCAAGTCTCCAAATCGGTCTCACCACACCCAGATTCAAGAGTTATCCTCCCACGGACCGGCTGAAAACCCCCGTCGGATCTCCAAACCGTCCGGAGCAGGATGTTGACTGCACAAAAGTGAAACTGATCAGGTCCTGTATTTTTCCTTTCCACCATTTTCCTGCTGCCAATAATAGAAAAAAAATTAAAGTTCCTTATGAACATGGTACACAGAGCTCGGGAAGACCCGTGCGCGCGCACACACACACACACACACACATACTCTCTCCTTTACACACACGCGCACGCACACACACACACACACACATACTCTCTCCTTTACACATACACACACACTCATCCATTTCTTCTTTCACTCATTGACTTCATAGGTTTGATTTTCCTGAATCTTCTTTTTTGCATTGCCACGTTTGTCCTCTGGGTCCCTATTTACCTACAGACGCCTCTTTCTATTCCTATCCAGTGAAAGTATCTCTTCCTGGGAGCAGGCTTTGTGATAAAAGGGGTTAAGCTGTCCTTTGTGATGCCGCATCTCAACTACTTCCTACCTAGAGTGCTACTAATGACCTTAGGAAAGCAATCAAAGCTGCCCCACCTGTTGCAGTCACTGCCACCCACATGGGAGGCCTGGGTGGTGGTCAAGGCTTCTGTTTTCAGCCTGATCCAGTCCCAGAAGTTGTGACTATTTGGGGAATGAAGCTACAGATAGAACCTCATCCCTCAAAGAGATGTTCTAGTTCCAGCTGCACTGCGTCTTAGCTTTTGATCCAGCTCCTTGCCATTGTTGCAGGGAGGGCAGTGAAGGAGTCTGGCATCCGTGCATGGTATCCAGCAGAAGTCTGACTTAGCCTGGCCCAGTCCCAGCTCTTACAGTCATTTGGGGAGTAAGCAAGCAGGTGAAAGACCTCTCCTCCTCTCTGTTACTCTACCTTTAAGTAAATAAGTCTTTTTCTGGAAAAGAAAAGCCTGTAAACCTTAGGGAGTGTCAAGCAAGCGATATCTGTAGACCATCATAGAATGGACAAGCCCCATGCCCAAGGCGACAGTTCTCTCATCCAAAAGATGGAAGCGAGGGCATTTTCCTATCAGCTTGCATGTTCAGTATGAAACAAATTCCAAAAGTCCTCCGCAAGGTACGAGAGACACCCTGGAGAAGGCCTGCTTTAGCCTTGGAAATTCACCCAGCTACAGACACCAAATTGAACCCACAGAGCACTTATTTTTTTTCCTTTAATTTGAAATATTTGCCAAATAGGCTAAAAAACAAAAAGATTACACAGAAGATCCAACTTGAATCCTCTCTTGAGGAATCCTAAGCTCTAGCACCCTTTGGCCCCATCCTTGCTTCCTCAGTCATGTGTGTCTGGACCGGCCTGTGAGTGCCTGTCCATTCCCCTTCACGCTTGGCCTTCACCATTCAAGGCATTAACTTCCATCTCCCTGCCTGGTCCTCACCCTTCCCTGCATCTGTCCAGGAGCATTCTGTTCCACTCCTTCTATGAAGTTCTTTGCTTAGAAGAGCAAGTTTTCTCACAATTCTTCAGTTTCCCTTCTCTGGTTGGCCTTACCCAGCTCTATGCTCTGTATTTTCTCTCTTCATTCAATGAGCATTTAACCAATTTCAAAAGGTTAGAGCTGACATGAGCTGCTGGGTGAAATTGCGGCAGGGTAGAGGTTTACAAAGTGTGGCCTTTGCTTTCCAGGGACTCTCAGACATGTAAAAATATGCTTCCTGGGGCCTGAATTGTAGCATAGCAGGTAAGGCTGCATGTAAGCTTGACATCCAATGCAGACACCAGTTCATCTGCCAGCTACCACACTTCTGATCCAGCTCTCTGCTAAGGAGCTGGGATAGCAGCAAAGGATGGGCCAAGTGCTTGTGATGCTGACATCTGCATGGAAGACCCAGATGAAGTTCCCGGCTTCTGGCTTTGGCCTAGGTCAGACTTAGCCATTGAGACTATCTACGGAGTAAAGCGGCAGATGAAAGATCTCTCTGTCTCTCTAACTCTGACTTGCAAATAAATGAATATTTTTTTTAATATTTATTTTATTTCTTTAGAAAGTCAGGTATACAGAGAGGAGGAGAGACAGAGAGGAAGATCTTCCATCTGATGAATCACTCCCCAAGTGGCCACAATAGCTGAGCTGAGCCAATACAAAGCCAGGAGTCACGAGCCTCTTCCGGGTCTCCCAGGCAGGTTCAGGGTCCCAAGCCTTTGGGCTATCTTCAACTGCATTTCCAGGCCACAAGCAGGGAGCTAGATGGGAAGCAGAGCTGCCAGGATTAGAAGTGGTACGCATATGAGATCCCGGCACATACAAGGCAAGGACTTTAGCTGCTAGGCTACAATGTCTGGCCCAATAAATTATTTTTTAAATATGCTTTCTATATTCAGCAACTATATACCAAGTCCCCATGATGTAAAAAAATACCATTTTAGGTACTAGGACTACAGCTCCAGAAATAAAATTAAGGAAAATACAGAACTAATGCCCAGTTCCCAGTCTAGAATTATGGTTTCAAAGAATGGATTTTAGAGCCTCACCAACTGTGCTTCAGCATTGACATCTGCCATTATTGTATGAGAGTGACATACTACTTAACAACTGGGCCTCCATGCTCTTATCTGTAACATGGAGAGAATAGCAACTCTTTGCTTCCTAAAAGAATTGAATGTGTTAGTACATGGAAACTGTTTTTAACAGTGCCTGGCATTTAGTAAGTGCCTGTAACTAATATTATTAGAAAAAAAATGAGAGGAATATCCCATCTCATCAATAAGTGCAAAATGATACCGTGGAGTGTGGCAGATAAGCTGGAATAAGGACAGGGTGTAAGAAGTAAAAAGAGAGAAGAAAATAATCTAAGGCATTCTGTAGTAGGCACCTCCAAATTAATCTTTTTTAAGAGTTGTTTATTTAAAATGTAGAGTGGGAGCCGATGAGGTAGTGTATCAGCATAATCCTCTACCCATAGTTCCAGCATTCATGTGAGGG